AACAGGCCCTGGGCTGCACCCCGAGACAGGCTGATGCACCCCTTTAACCTGCTGCACTCACGGCACACCCGAGACCGTCCCTGGAGCAGCTCTCTCGGGCGGCCCGGTGCCAGCTCCGCACGGCTCCGCGGTGCCAGCCCGGCAGCACGACCGGTGCTGCAGTGGGCCCCGCCGCGGGCTGGTGCGGGGAAGGCCGGGCCTCGGGCCAGCGAGGCCTGGCCACGTTCTGACAAGACCAAGCAGTTCCGGAACCCTTCAGGGAGGGGCAGGGAGAGGGGCAAGCCGCACTTTCCCTGCATCACCTGTAGAGACAGTTTCAAACAAATGGGGGCAAAACCCTCAGCTCAGCTGGAAGGAGAAAACAAGTCCCCCCAGCCTGGGGGCTGGGAAGCCGGCTGGCTCGGCTGTTCCCGCACCAGCCTGGCCTGGGGCCCTGCCCCTGCGGGTGCCGGCGGAGGGCAGGACCAGAGACACACACACGCCCACCTGCGGGAGCAGGCAGCCCAGCAAGGACGGACCTGGCATGGGTTTTAGAACCAGCCCGTCCGACACCCCATTGTACAGAAGGAAAAACTGAGGCTCAGGGAGGCGGGAGCTTCTTCCAATGCCAGACAGCCGTCAGCGTGGAGTGGGAGCCGCCCCCACAGCCAATAGCCCCGGCCTCCAAGGGGCAGAGCCCGAGCGGCCTGCTGGGCAGGGGCACCGCTCCTCTGTGCTCCCGGGGCCCCACACCCAGCAGAGCCCCCGTCCAGGGCCGCCGAGGAGGCTGGAGGACCTGGGGCACACACAGGGGCTGCGACCTCAGCCACAGGACCCGCCCCTCTGCCACACTTCCACTGAGGCCCTGCTGCAGGCCCTGGGCCCGTCCCCCTACCAGGCGGTGGGGCGGGGACATGGCCCGGCCTCAGGAGCCCACGGCCGAGAGAGACACGGGCACTGAGGGTCACCGGAGGGCATGGGGGGCAGGGAGGGGCCTGGGACCCAGCCTGGGTTTCTGGGGGGCCTCCTGGGGAGGGGGTAGCCACAGGGGGAGATGGGCCGGGGGCCGCCAGCCTGCAGAACCACCTGTGCCAGGCCCCCAGGCTACGCAGGCAGTGACGGGTGGGCTCACAGCCTGGACGAGGGGGCCACGGAGCCATCTGAACGAGGCAGAGAGGAAGAGGCAGGACCCAGCCCACAACCCGGGAAGAGCTGCTGAGATGGCGCCACAAAAACACTCCCACAGCCTGCAGCCTGGGAGGGCGAGCGAGGCACCTGTGCGTGTGCGCAGCGATGTGCGTGCACGCGTGTACGACACACACACAAGCACGCACACATGAACTCACACACCTGTGCACACACACACAGCATGTACACACAACCACACATACGTGTGTGGGTATTGCACACATGGGTATGTGCACACACATGCATGAAGTGTATGTGTGCACACGGGCAGGTGTGTGGCGTGCAGATACGTGCGCACACCTGCTGGGAGTGCACACACATGGGTGTGTGCATGTGTATTTGTGTGAAGCGCTGAGTCATGCACATGTGCAGTGCCCAGTACATATGCACGGATGTGTGTGCACAGATGTGTGTGCCTGTGTTGTGTGAATGTGGGTGTGTGCGGTGCATAGACCCTGTGCACGCACACACACACGCACAGCAATGGGTGCAAGGAGACAGGCTGAGGCCCCTTGTGGAGCACAGAGCACCTCACCCCAGGTGTCCCCGGCGGGCCTGCGCCCCAATGCCCCCCTGGCACGGGGGCCAGGACCCAACGTCCCCGGGTGTGGTCCTGGCTAGACCAACCCCTCTGGGCCCCATTCGTCCCGGGGATGGGGGGGGCAGCTGAAGGGCAAAGACAGCCCCCCTTCCGAGTGGTTTCCTCTGAGCTGCACCTCCCCCTCCCCCATGTCCCCCAGCCCCCCCCGACCCCAGCAGCACCCACCCCGTTGTTTCTCCAGGTCCTGCCAGGCCCGGGCCTGGTCTTCAGTGACCCTTTGGGACAGGCAGTCGGCCCCGGGCCATGCCGTTCTTGCTGCAGGATGACCAGGGATGTGCACCAACGTCCGGGGTGAGAGGCCACCCTGGCTCCCTGGGGACAGCTTCGGTCCCCGGGCCGTGGAGCGGCGGGCAAGCCTGCGTCCCGTGCGGCCCCGAAGCCCAGCCAAGGGCCACTCCACTCCAAGAACCCCTCGGGGGCCTGGCTCTCCGCCGCCCCTGGACCCCAGACCTATGGGAGAGGCACTCCCTCCTGCTCAGGACAGGGACAGGCTGCCAGCAGTGCCAGGTCTGTGACCTGAGGTCAAAGGCCAGCCAGGGGTCCCTAGGATGTCCAGGTACACGAGATGCCCCCAGCACGGGTAGCCCCTTCCTGGGCAGTGCCAAGTTCTGTCTCCTTTGGGCCCCCGCTGCTTCCAGTCCTCCCCCCGCCCCAATTCCTTGTGCCACGCTCTCCCTGCTTGAGAACACGCGAGGTGTCAAGTGGAACCCGGACCCTGCATGTTCCTGGGCTGGCCCCCAGCGTGCTCCTCACCAGAGGAGAACCCTGGCGGTCCGGAGGAGGCCCCCAAGGGTGCCTGGGTGCTGGGAGAGGGAGAGAGTGCTCCACAACCTACACTGATGTCCTCGGCTCCCCCTGGCTCCCTGCCCTCCAAGACAGAGCCCACCCCCGCCCCAGGGCACATGCCCCCGGGGCCTCCCCCCCCCATCCCCTGCGTTCCCCAAATGCCCCTCCTCCAGGCAGCCTTCCGGAAAAACCTCACTCACTCCCAGGCATGGATGGCATCCACCACGCCCATCTCAGGGTGTGGCCAGCACGCCAGTGCGTGCGTGCGTCGACGCAGGGAGGACGCAGGTGTGTGCGGGTCTTCCCTGCAAAACGCACCCCCAGGTGCTCCGATCGGTGGCACCTTTAGGCCCCTAGAACCAGGAGGACCTTCCACAAGGATGGTGTCCTCCCACCTTCCCAGGGTCACACACCTCTCACCTGCAGGGCGCCTCAGTGCCTGGGGTTGGCACCGGAGGGTCAGCCCCTCTGGGGCGGGCCCACCACCTGCCAGCCTGACTCCGCCCACCCTGCCTGGGCTCCCGCCTCCTCTGTGGCACGTGGTTAACAAGGCTCCAAGGCTCCACTGCGGGCCTCTCCGCTGAGGCCTCTGAGCTCTCCTGCGTCAAGCCGTTTGAGGCCCTGGGGAGCTCTGCGAAGAGGCCCCCAAACCACCCGTTTCTAGGCATCACTGGGCGTGGGGGTCGCTCCTTCCCCTCCCTGCCAGAAGTGTCCCGCCTCTCCTCCAGCCCCGGGAATGACCGACCGCCCCCCCGCACCCCCGCGATCCCACCATCTAAGGAGGCTGGGGGGCAGCCGCCAGCCTGGTGCGATCTGGAAGAGGAAAGCTCTTCCCGCTGGTCCCAGCAAGAACGAACTCCAACCTCTCCCCAAAGTCTGTCTCCCACAGCCCTCAGGCTGCCCGGCGGCAGGGACCGGCCCTGGACGCGGGCAGGGGAGTGACAGTGCACATCTGTGGAGTCAGTGAACAGAAACAGGCGACAGGGCGAAGCGCATTACCCTGAGCATTCACCCCTACGCCGGCAAGAATGAGGCACCCACGCAAAAACTCCCGTCATCCGGGCAATTCGGTTAGGGGTATTAGAGGTGGTGGTTTTGAACACCCCCCCCCACCCCCAACCCAGCATGAGAATTAAACTTCAACAATTGCCAACACGGGTGCAGAGCTTGGGAGTCTGCCCGGAGCTTCCACGGTGGCCGCTGTCGTGATTCGTGCAAGCCGGCAAGGCAGGGGACCAAGGCCAGGGGTGCGGAGGTGGCTCTGCCTGGGAGCACTGACCAGAGACGCGTCTGGACCCCGCGCTCAGAGGACGGCCAGCGAGAGGCTGGCTCTCCAATCAGGCGGCGGACCCCAGCCGGCCGGTGCCGCGCGCGAGTGTGCGCGCCCGCGTGTGCGTGTGCCCGAGGGGAGGCGAGGATGCTGCTGTCTGAGAGCAGGCTCCGGGAGCTCACCGCGCAGGCCAGCCGGCACTCAGCCCTGTCCCGCAGGCTGCAGGCGGCCCTGGAGGGGGCGCCCTCGCTGTGGGCTCGCGCCCCGCGCCACCGCCCCACCGCCCCGACTCCTCCCCGGCGCTGCGCAGGCAGGCTCGCCGAGGCAGCCGCGGGCTCGGGCTCCGGCTCCCGGCCCGCTCCCCCCGGGCTGGCGGCGCTGGCCTGCCCGCCAGGCCGCCCCTGCCCGCCCGCGCCCCGCCCTGCTGCGCAACTCTACCCAAGTTGGAAGCCGAGCCCGGGCGGCTGCACTCGCGCGGAGCGCACGGCGGCGGCGGCGGAGGAGAGAAGGAGGCGGCGGCGGCGGCGTAGCTTGGGCGAGCGAGGCGGCGCCCGCACGGCGGAGCAGGGACCGCGGGGGGCGCCCGCGCTGAGAGCAGCAGGAGGAGGGGCTGGAGAAGGACGCGCAGCGGTGCCCTGCCCGGGAAAGTAAAGTTGGAGCCGAAGGCTGCGCGTGGGGGTCCGGAGGAGCAGCGGCCCGCACTCCGGGGCGCCGGGCCGTAGCCGGCCGAATGGGAGGCAGAACTCCCGGGCTGCCGCCTGCAGCCTGCGCCTCCGCCGGGTGCTGGGGCCGCGGAGCCGCTGGGGGCCACCCGCTCGGGCGCCGCGTCGCCGTGGTCTCGCGGCTGGGGCGCTCCTGGTGAGCGGGGGCCGAGGGCGGGGCCACGCGAGGACCCTGGGACCTGCCCCCTCCCCCCCGCCGCCGCGTCGCCGTTTGCTCCGGGCGCCTCCTGCTCTGCACTAACGCGCGCGGCAGCTGCGGGGAGCCCGGTAGCCACGCTCTCCGGCGCGCCGCTCGCCGGCCGAGCCACCACGGCCGAGGGCCGGCTGCGGGGAGCTTCGGACCCGGGCGGGCGCGCCGGAGGAGCAGGTGGCGATGCGGACGCCGACAGAAGCTTGGGGGCTGCCGAGCTGCCGCAGCTGCGTCCTGGCTCCAGGCGGGACCGCGTAGCTCGCCGGAGGACCATGGCGTCCCCGGCGCTGGCGGCGGCTCTGGCGGCGGCGGCGGCAGTGGTGGGCCCCAACGCAAGCGGCGCCGGCGAGGGGGGTGGCAGCGGAGCTGCCAACGCCTCGGGGGTCGCCTGGGGGCCGCCCCCGAGCCAGTACTCGGCAGGTGCCGTGGCGGGGCTGGCAGCCGTGGTGGCCTTCCTCATCGTTTTCACCGTAGTGGGCAACGTGCTGGTGGTGATCGCCGTGCTGACCAGCCGAGCTCTGCGTGCACCGCAGAACCTCTTCCTGGTGTCGCTGGCGTCGGCTGACATCCTGGTGGCCACACTGGTCATGCCCTTCTCGCTGGCCAACGAGCTCATGGCCTACTGGTACTTCGGGCAGGTGTGGTGCGGTGTGTACCTGGCGCTCGACGTGCTCTTCTGCACCTCCTCCATCGTGCACCTGTGCGCCATTAGCCTGGACCGCTACTGGTCCGTGACGCAGGCAGTCGAGTACAACCTGAAGCGCACGCCGCGCCGCGTCAAGGCCACGATCGTGGCCGTGTGGCTCATCTCGGCCGTCATCTCCTTCCCACCACTGGTTTCACTCTACCGCAAGCCCGACGGCGCCGCCTACCCGCAGTGCGGCCTCAACGATGAGACCTGGTACATCCTTTCCTCCTGCATCGGCTCCTTCTTCGCTCCCTGCCTCATCATGGGCCTGGTCTACGTGCGCATCTACCGCGTCGCTAAGCTGCGCACGCGCACGCTCAGCGAGAAGCACACGACCAAGGGCCCCGACGGCGCGTCCCCGACCGCAGAGAACGGGCTGGGGGCGCCGACGGGCGCCGGCGAGAACGGGCACTGCGCGCCCCCGCGCCGCCCGCGCGCCGACGTGGACCCGGAAGACAGCAGCGCGGCGGCAGAGAGGCGGCGGCGTCGGGGTGCGCTGCGGCGGGGCGGGCGGCAGCGTGCGGGAGGAGAGGGGGCCGCGGGCGGCGCGGATGCGCTGGCTCCCGGGCCCGCGGAGCCGGGCGCGCTCGCCGCCTCGAGGTCCCCGGGCCCCAGCGCGCGCCTGTCTCGCGCCAGCTCGCGGTCCGTCGAGTTCTTCCTGTCGCGCCGGCGCCGAGCGCGGAGCAGTGTGTGCCGCCGCAAGGTGGCCCAGGCGCGCGAGAAGCGCTTCACCTTCGTGCTGGCCGTGGTCATGGGCGTGTTCGTGCTCTGCTGGTTCCCCTTTTTCTTCAGCTACAGCCTGTACGGCATCTGCCGGGAGGCCTGCCAGGTGCCCGACCCGCTCTTCAAGTTCTTCTTCTGGATCGGCTACTGCAACAGCTCGCTCAACCCGGTCATCTACACCGTCTTCAACCAGGACTTCCGGCGCTCCTTCAAGCACATCCTCTTCCGACGGAGGAGAAGGGGCTTCAGGCAGTGACTGGCGGCGCCCCTCCCCCCGCCGCTTCGCGCGCCGGCCCTGGGCCGCTCCGGGAGGAGGGAGCGGACAGGCGTGGCTCCCAGGGGAACCTGGGTTAGATTCCCTGGAGACCCAGGGATGGGTCGGCCTCTAGGGCGCGGGGCAGGAGCGAGGGTCCGAGATCCGAGAGCCCCCGGGAGAGGGGAGGAGAAAGGGAGACGCCTCTGCCTTCCCATCTCAGCGAGGGGCCGCTGCCGGGTCTCCAGGCCTGGATTGCCGCCGGGCGCCCTGCCGGGTGTGGCTGTTCGGTCCGGTCTTAGACCGCAGCGGCATGTGCGACCTCCCAAACGGGTGAGGAGGCCCCCTGGCGCACGCTGCCCCCCCAGATCCACCTCCGCGAGTAAGGGCTGACCTCCCCAGGACCTGGAGGGGGCGGCGGTCTGGGGGCAGGAAGGAGGGCGCTGAAAGTATTTGGTTCCTGAAAGTATTTACATGTTTGCCAAAAAGGACAGCCCAAACTACCAAACTATTTTCTAAATAAACCTTTGTAATCTACGCATGGGGTGCAGCCGTCAGTACCTAAGCGGCCGGTTGGCGGCGGCTTCCAGACCCTCCCCCTGCCTGACCTCCCCCCAGGGTGAAAGAGGACCTCCAGACTCTAACCCTCCCCCACCGCTTGCATGAGAAAGGGGAGGTCGTTTTCTTCTTTAAGCCAAATGTTTTACCTCCGGGTCAGTTACGCACTCAAAATCCTCGGGCTGTCACTGGCTAAGGGGAACTCCCAAATGGACTCCAAACTTAGGTCCTGCAGGGCTGTCCTCTCCTCATCTCTGTCCCTGTCCCCCCGTGGTCCCACCCAGGGCCTGCCCTGGCCTGGCAGCCCCTCCCCGGGGGGAGAAGGTGCGGCGGCCAAAAGCATCTGAGGCCGAAGCTCTGCCTGGCGGCTGCGGACTAGTGGCACCTCTGGGCACGTCGTGGGCCGGCCGCTTTGGAGGACCCAGGGAGCACGGGTACCTGTCCGGAGCAGGTCTGGGGTGGCACTGAGGCCAAGGCCGGCCTCCAAACCCTGTCACAGACCAGAGGCCTTTGCCAATTTTTTGCTGTTTTGAACAAGAGGCTGGAAAGTCATGGGGGGTGGGGTGGGGAAAAGCCTGCTTTGCTGGGGAGGGGTCGGAGCCTACTGGCAGGGTCCACCCCACCTACCCCCTTCGTTTCAGTGTCTTGCCCCGGTTCCCCACCCCCCTACCCCCATGTCTGCGCTCACCCCACACTGAGGCTTGAGGAGGGTGGCTAGAAGAAGAGACTGAAGTATTGGAGGCTGCCCCCACCCTGGGCTCTGCTGGCTGGCCCTTCACGGAGACTGGAGCTGGGGTAGCTCAGGGGAAGGGGCGGGAGCAGGATCTGGGCACTGCAGGGGGAGGCGTGGCTTCCCCCGAAGCAGGTGCGTGCAGGCACACGCCCGCTGAGTCTGCGCTGGAGGGACTCACGCTGTGGACCCCTGCTGGTGGGCATCCCGTCTTCCAGGCCCCTCCCTGCCCGTCCCCTGCCTGCCAGCTCAGCGTTCTCCCGGATCGCCACCCGTCTGCCCCCGGCCTGGGGTGGCCACACGTCTGCCGGGAGGGGTCACCCCAGGGTCCTTCCTCTCGTCCTCAGGTCCCTGAGCCTCTTTCCCGGTCCACGGGCCCGGCTGTCCCTTGGATACCCCCAACCTCTCCATGATGCCAGACCTCATCACCCCAAGCTACGGGTCCTCAGGACAGGCCGGCTGGCCAAGCTGCCCCAGGCCGTGCCCACACTAACGCACGGGGCACTCCACCCCTGCCGGGTTTCAGCTCAGGGACAGGTCGTGGAGCCCAGACCTGGGGTGGAGGGGTGGGGTGGCCCTGTCCAGCTCCGCCCGCCCGGGCCAACTGGCACATCCCTGACCCGTCTCCATCGGGTGGGGACCTGGAGGGACACCCGTGTCGGAGGCCCGGCTCTGCCGCAGCGTGGCTGAGCCAGCTCTGCAAACCCTGGCCCCCTCCCGGCCTCCACGCCCCTCCTGGGGGGCATTGCTTGAAGCCTGCCAGTCTTTGGTCAGCCTGCCAGCCGAACCGGGGTGACTTCTCTGGAGGTGGCACATCGACACCGGGGTTGCTGCTGAGTGGTGGGGCCCCCTGGGTGCGGCGGGGCAGGGGCCCCCGAGGCTCGTGGGACGAACGAACGCAAAGTCTCCCCTGGGGGCGCGCTCCCTTCCTCCCTGACCCGGGAATTGCACCTTGCACGCCGCCGCCCGCCTGTCGCAGGGGCTGCTGGCAGCGGCGCCTGGTCCCCATCAGCCGGCAGATGTTCCCCACTCCATCCTAATTGCCGCCTGGAGAGGCTTCCTCTTCAGCTGGGTAAACAGAGACAGGCCGGGCTCCCCACCCGGCGCTGCCGCACTGCCGCAGGGAGACGGGCCTCGCGCAGCACCCTGCTGTCTGCGCGGACCAAGGAGGGACGCCGGCACCCCGCCGGTGCCCCCGAGCACCGGCTGCTCCCCCCGTGCTCCAGGGACCACCCTGCAGGGGGGCTTCTCCGCCCCCCGGAGCAGGGGCCTGACGTCCGTCCTCCTGCCCGCGGTTGGTGCGGCAGGTCCGTCCACCGTGGCCCGTCCGTCCACACCGCGCCCTCCTCCCCTACCTCCACGTCTCCTCCGCCGTGCCAGTTGTCAGCCCCGCCCTGCGGCTGAGGAAACTGAGGCCTAGAGCTGGCCATCTGGCCCGGGACCCACCAGTGTGAGGGGCAGAGGGTGCTGTGAGCCCAGAGGTGTCCAGCGCCCACCCTGAGACTCCAAGCCCCTGCCCTGAGACCCCAACCCCGTGTCCCGTGAGCACGGCACCTGCGGGGCCTCGCGCTGCGGTAGCCTCAGACACAGCCCGCCTTCCCGCGGGGGGGCCGTCCCTCGGGCTCGGGAGGGTTCAGGAAAAATTCTAAAAAACCCCCACGAGGAGATCCCGGAAGGCGGCCCCTGAGTGGGCAGACGGGCTTGACTGTGGAACGGGCCCAAGCCGGGTGGGTGCCAGGGTGGCTCTTACAAGATGTAAGTGGGTACACGTTTGTTTAAATTACTTCCTGCATTCTAATTTAATGGCTGAGTTGAAAGAGAAGGGGGGAAAGGATCATCCAAAATACCCCAGTACAGCTCAGTGTGGAATTCAGAAACCGCCCCCCCCCGGAGCAGGCGGCCTGGGCGCACGCCGGGAAAGCAGCTCCCGGCTCCGCGTCCAGCCCCCCGCCCCCCTGCGCCCGGGCCCGGGGGCGGGGCTGAGGGCGGAGCAGACTCGCGCGGTGGCACTCGCTGGCGGCGGAGCCGGCCTTCCCGGCTGTGCTGGCAGCCGGCTGTATTTTCGTATCACATCCGCCGCAGGCTCAAGTGCTCGGGCTCAGCCTCACATCAACACACACGGAGCCGAGGCGGGCCTGTCTTCAGTCTGGTCGGGCAGCTGCGGCCCCAGGCAGAGCCAAACCCCACCCCGATGGCGGTGGGCCCCCATCAGTGTCCTCCTACCCTGCCGCATGCGGGGGGGCGGGGGGCTGCGGGGCACAGCTGGGCTGAAGGCTGCAGGCCCCACGGCCAGTGTGGGGCGCCGTGGGCACCTGGCCCCATGACAGCCCTGGCTCTCCCCGGGCGCTGGCGGGCAGCCTCCCCTGCTCACTCTGGGGCTTCCAAGGGGCAGGATGTGGAAGTGGGTGGGGCTCATGGAGGGCGGGGTGGGAGCTGAGAAGTGAGTAGGGGGAGGGAAGGAAGGGCTCAGGTGAGAGTCTGGCGCCAGGGCCCGGGCACGCTGGGCTCCCTCCGCCCCGATCGCCAGCCTCCACTGGACTAGCTGGGCTCTCAGGAGCATGGGATGCGGCTGCAGGGGGGTCGGGGGGGAGGGCGCTGATGGGGGCCTCGGATGGAGGGCAGGGGCTCTGCACGCCCTTCCCAGGCTGGCCAGGGCGAGGCAGGGCAGGCCCGAGGCTCAGGCTGGGGCACTGCTGTGCCTCTGAAAGTGGTCTGGGAGCAGAGCTGGCTGCCAACCCTGGGCCCGGGGGAAGCCCTGGGGACCACGAATGTGCTGCTTTCCTGCCAAAGGCTCTGTGGCTGCTCCCAGTAAGAGCCCCGGGGACAGTGATCACCATGTCGACACAGGGGCTCTCCGTGCGGGGGTGGGGGGTGTCGCTGGCCCAGAAAGCCTGGTTCAAAGGCGTTCTCTCTGGTGGCTGAGCACAAAATGTACATGAGCTCCCTGGCAGTGATGGGGAAAAGGGAAACAGGATCCACACCTGCACTCTGCTGCCAGGTTGACCGCGGACGCTGGGCCAGTGGGCCAGCATGAGGCCTGCCTGAGAGACCAGCAGGCCGGTGCCGGCTGCGCTGCCCAGGCCTCTGTGACACGGGGTCCTGTCTCCAGTAGGGCCTCGGGGACCGCAGAGAACCCCAGGACACTCACACAGCCCCCAGGCCCAGCCCCAGTCCCCAGCTGCACCAGATGGGGCCCTTTCTTATCTGCTCTGCCCTCACCCCTGGGCCTGCCCTTCCCGGACCAGGACCAGGCTAGGAGCCAGGACAGCTGTGGGGCGTGACAGCCCTGGGGACTAAGGTCACTCGGCCCTGCTGCCTGAGGTCCCCAAACCCCGGGGCCAGAACAAGCCTCTGGGCTGCAAAGCTGCCACGGCAGACCCCCAGCTCCCGGCTGCGGGCCAAGCCCACAGGGCTCCTGCCTCCTCGGGCGCCCCACCCCCATCCAGTCGGGGGCTTCCTGTGTTCTTTGAAGAGGAAAGCCACCTCTTCCAGCTGAGCATTCAGTCCTAGATGTCAGGATAAAATTCCGGGGAAACTTTCGGGACTCTCGGAAAGCCGGCCACATCTGCCCTGTCTCTTGTCACTCACTTTCTTTAAACGCGTGTTTGTGTGGGCCCTGGTCTGGGGAGGGGGCACGGAGCCCACGGCTGTCCCCGCAAAGCCACCAGGGCCACAGCCACCGGGAGACCAGAGGGGTCAGACCCTGGGAGGGGCCGGCTGCTGGGATGTCAGCGGGACTCCAATGCCGGGCCGCTGACCTGAGGGAGTGGACAGCGACCAGGGTGGCCGGGAGGCCTGGGAAAGCCCTGAGCTGGGGTGGCCCGGGTGTCAGAGACGGGGCCGCACCATGGCGGATATTGTGGGTGGGGCCCCCGCCACGACACCTCAGGGAGACCCTGCAGGAAGTCACTGCCCTCCTGTGGTCACTACTGCCACTACGGAAAAAACAAGGCACACCGATGACCACTTCTTTAAAGGCTGTCCATCGAGCGTCCACGGCCCCCCGACACCTGGTCAGCGGCAGAGAGACACGCACTCCTATCCCCGAGGAGTGGGCAGTCGTGTGGGGGGCAGGTGGCGCCCACAGACCCACACGAGCAAAGGTGACAGTAGGGACGGCGGTGTGTTGGGTGCAGCTGCCCGACCCTGGGGTGCATGGGGGGCGGCGGGTGTGCAGCTGACGGTGAGTCTCCTCCTGGCACGCTGGCTGGGGACCCGGCCTCGCCTGTGGGCGGAGCAGCTGGCCCCA